AGCAGGGAGAGAGCAGTTGGGCTGTCCCTTATCTTTACCCCAAGTAGCCAGCCCCTGTGTCCTTCAAGGGGAGGGAGCCCTTTGTTTAGGATTTTATTGGATATTTTTTCTTTTGCTACTTAATTTCGTAGCCTCGGCCTCCCCAAAATGAAGAGCAAAGATCAAACTGAGTTGAAATTTAACTTTACTGCAAGATCAATTAAAATTAGCTAGATACCTTAGGAAGTGCACCGAGAGGAGCATGCAACTTGTTGCATTCCACCCCCGCTTCAGCTTTTACAGGGGTCTCATAAACACACATCCACTTTAAGTTCAAAGCCACGCCACTGCAGCACAGAGTTTATTCAGCGTTGTCGCTGCTCTGATAAAACAACATGTGTAGTAGGTTATACACAACGACAGAGCTCGTTCCAGCAACCTCGGGTGCAATTTCACTTGTAGCATCTCGTGCTGCTCCTGAATTTCCTTACTGGATGCTTCTAAGGCCCAGCGTGAGAATGCATCCATCGACACTGACCTACAGTGCTTAAAGTTTCTAAGGGAGACAGATCCTTGTCCTGCGCTGCTGCCATCCCAAACGAGAGTGGGTTTAAGGAACATTGCTAAGAATAGAAATCTAATCAGAATTCATTTCACTTTTATAAATCACAGCTTTGAAGGCATATGTATTTGTGAGGCTTTTGGCAATATTCTTTCCAGAGTCTTTATATTCTGTGGCTGCAGCAAGAAAGCACACGCAAGAAACTAGGAAGCTAGGCTCGGCATTGTTAGAAAAAAGCTAACGAGCACGTGTTCAGCCTCGTACTTCAGTTTGCAAAGTAATGGGGTCACGCGCGTTGCGTCTGAGCAGACGTCACAGTGCAGCGTGCAACAAAACCTGCCGACTGTTTTGCTGAAGAACAACGTAGCTTTCAATCTTCTTAAGAGGCATTAATCAAAATGCTAAGATTACAGTCACCGAACACTAAACAGCACACGTCCGACCCGAGCACACCACGATTTGGCACCGGGGACAGGGCTACAACTGTGATACGGCACGAAGAGCCGGCTGTTTGCAGCAGACACCGATCACGTTTCATTAACGGGGAAGAACACGTAGGTGGAAATGGGAAATGCTGCTGCTCGCTAGCCCTGCATAAGAGCTGTGAACTAGACACCAAATACAAGACTGACGCTACCTTCTGTCTGCTTCGGGTTGATCGGAGCTGACCACAGCAACCGGCGCCGCCCGTGAACTGCTCTCCAACCACCCCCTTCCGCTCCCCTTCGCTTCGATTATCCAGCGCCCTGCCGCACAGCGTGCTCTCCCCAGCAGACTGCTCTCAAATCCCTTGCCCTCAAGAAGATTACATGCAATGAAGTTTAAAATCCAATTTTGCCTCTTGTCATGGAGTAGCCGAGCTTGGCCTCATTGTTGATGAAGGACATCAATCCCAGGTAGGTCTCGATCCGAAGGGGACGCTCCAGCACCAGCACACCGTTAGCCCTTCCTGGCAGCGGACACTCCTTATGGGCTTTCTTCACAGCTTGAATTAGCTGAGTTTTAAAGTTTTCCAACTGAAAGAAAGGAAAAAAAAAATCCCCTTGACGATCCTCTGTTGTATTAAGAATTGTTAAGCGAAGAGCTGCTGATGTTTATTGTAAAGGATCGACACTAAAGTTGTCATAGATCTCCTGTGCCGTGATAAACTTTATTGTTGGATGTTTAACCTTAATGATACAGTTAATTTCACAGCAGGACCCTATTTACACATAAGTCACGTGGGCTAGATGTGCAAAGATTTATCAGTGACTAACACAGTTCATTTCTGAGTGTGGCTCTCCCACCCTTGCCATTGATGTGTTGAACTGAAATTACCACGGTGTTCTGTTTTGAAGGAAACCTTCAGAGGGAAGCGGCTGCTGCAAGAAAAACCAAGAGCTGCCTCGGTGAAGGTTTACAGTTAGCAATGAAAATGCTGGTTTAATTAGCTGACAGTCCTAGATGAAAAGCCAGGCATTAACCTGTCAGGTAAGCAGGGGTAGCACCAAGACCTGTTTTCTTTTGAGTTTTATAGGACTCGGCACTTTTGGAAGTTGCAGCTTCCTCGAACAACCCGTTTAGGGGTGGCTGGCAACAACTAACAGTTGTGCTGCCCTGCGAGTCAGGCCTTGGGAGGACGGGGAAATGCAGCTTACACCTCTGTCGCTCTGATTTAACTGCTCTATCTTTCTGAAATAATCTGTCCTATCCAGCCCACGGGACCAACAGTCCGTCTCGAACAGGAGAGATGACGTCCTTACTAGGCAGAGGGATGCGACCTTCTCATCAGCATCTGCCATGGGATGCTCGGTGAAGGTGACGTACGGGATGCTGGTGGACCACGGGTTCCATCTGTTTATGAAGGAGGCGCGGCTTTGCTTGTCCCACTGAATCCGGATGCCGACACCTTCGCGCCTGGTATCGAAGACAGCAGAATGAATGCCTTGAGGCAGGTTTACTCAGAATTCTACTGTCTGAAAAAGATCAGCTCAATACAAATCTGACAGTAAGCCTTTCCTCTAGAACAGTAACAATGATTTACATTAATGATATGGGAACGATCATAACTTTAAAGTATTACTGCGTCCACTTACTTGTTGAGAGACTTAGGTGGGAACTCAAACTCTCCTACAGAGATGGTGTCGACGGCGCTGAGGGCTATCCTTGTCACGTGCTGGCACTGCAGGCTGAGGAAGTTGTATTTGCAGATCAGGAGGGACCAATCCGTGATGAGAACGAGACGCTCCTTCTCATTGTTCCAGTGGTCAATTCTGGTAAGATAACGGGACTGGGCTTTAGCAGCTTTGATCAGTGGCCAGAAACACTTAACAGCTTGACAAAGTCACTGAGGAGAACAAATTTGAAATCCTAGAAATGCCGTGTCTTCTGTTATGGAATTGGCAAGTCTGGTAAGAGGTTGAATGTCACAAAACAGCTGTGATACAACACAGGGGAATGCTAAGAAAATCAGAATAGGCCTGAAGATCTTGAGAGTGAGCTCTAGTGCTCTCGCCTGTTATCTGACAACAAGTGCTACCCGTTGGGACAGGGGAGTCTCCACCAGCAAGGGTTGGGTATGTGCCGTTAGCGTGCTGCCATGTTTGCTAAGTGAACGGCGTTTGGGCCTGTTCAGGGAGAGAAATGGTTCAACTGCATGGCCTGACTTGGCATTTTCCTCCCTAAGAACAGTCTGTACATTCCAAAACTTGTTGGTTTCTTCAAATTCCACGTCACCTTTCCGCAAGGGTTTCCAGGCACTGCATTGTTAAGCCATCACGGCTACAACACCATCTCGTCCTTAGGACAACCTAAGAGTAGGTATTTTCACTCTAAGGGTAACGAGCTCTGCTTTTCAACTGGCACCTCTGAAATCTGCTACAGCTTATTTTTAGTGTTGCCGGTGTAACTGTCCTTCCTCACAAAAACTGAAAATTGTCTCTTGTTTCAACAGGAGCGCTGCCGTAAAGCCGAGGGGACCAAAGCCATCCTCACCGTGGAGAGGTAAGTGCAAATAGTGGGACCGTGCAACAGCCCAGCCTGTCCCGAGCCTTTCCCTCCTCCTCTCCCCACCGATTCCACTCGTACCCGGGGTGAAAGAACCCAGAGGGTCCCTGCCTTCTGCCTGCCCCGGGAGCGCTAGGGGCCTGCGGGTCTGGCCGTGCTGTTCTGCAGCAGAGCTCGTACGCCGCTCGTGTTCTGCTCCTATGCCGCACCTTGCCAGCTGCATTGCGTTCCCTGGAGCGAATTCCAGGGCTGCAGCTCGGTCTGCCAGCACGGCTTTTGGCGAAGCAGTTTATTAGAGCCACCTTAGGACCCAGTTCCGCCTTGCAGAGCGTGTTGGCCGTAGCTCAGTGACCAGCTTCCCTCCCCATCCTGCAGCGGGTCGTGCTGCACAAGGGTGTGATGCAGGCACTTTTCCAAGGCTTCCGCAAGCGGGAACGGT